TGTATGCATTTGTGTGTGTGTGTTAGTGCCCAGTAAAGAAGCATTTTAAGAAACCCAACTGTGGCTGGTGAGGTGACTCAGCAAGGTTAGGAGTGCTGGCTGCTCTTTCGGATGACCAGGGCTCTGTTCCCAGCACCCACATAGCAGCTCACAACCATCAGTCCCAGAGCATCTGACACCTTCTTCTGACTTCAGTGGGTGCCAGGCATGCAGTGTTGCACCGTGTCCACAGAGGTAAAACACTTATAAGTACAAAATAATAAAACAAGTTAACCTAAAAAAAGAATCCCTGTGAGGTGGGGTGAGTCTGCAGGGATAGATTACTAACCCTGATACCCCTACTCCTTTATTCAAAGATTTGCTTATCTTTATGCACTTGAACCATTTGCTTGTGTTTGTATGTGCACTGCATGCATGCCTGATGCTGAGGAAGCTAGAAGACCCCCTAGAACGAAGTTACAGGCAGTTGTGAGCTGTCTGTGGGTGCTGGGAACCGAACCTGGGTCCTCTGCAAGAGCAGCAAGTGCTCTTAACAATCTAGTAGTCTCTCCAGCTACCACCTGCCCTCTTTAAATTTTCTTTTTCTTTTTATTTATTTATTTTTTTCTGATACAGGGTTCTTCTGTAGCTTTTGAGCCTGTCCTAGAACTAGCTCTTGTAGACCAGGCTGGCCTCAAACTCACACAGATCCACCTGCCTCTGCCTCCCAAGTGCTGGGACTAAAGATGTGCACCACCATCTCCCAACTTAAACAGAAATTTTAAGGCAAGGTCACAGGTGACACAGGCTGTATAGCCCAAAATGGCCTTGAACCCTGATCTTACTTCTGCTTCCTTAATTCTGGGATTGCAGGTGGATATACCTGGTTTATACAGTGCTGGGCATAGAATCCAGAGCTCTCCAGCTGAGCTACATCCTTAGTCCCGAAGCTCTTTCTGTCTGACCACCCCAGGCTGTCTGCTGGTTGCCTATTTGGGGTTTAGTGACCCTGTTGCCTCATTTACATCAGTGACTAGGAAAGGCCAGGAGAACTTGGGTGGACCTCTGTGGATCTCCTGCCAGCTGCTGGCAACATAGGTGAAGACAGGGGCAGCTGAATTCACAGTAGCTGTACTGGACCTGGACCAGCCAATACCTCAGCCCCAGGGAGAGGTGTTGATCAGGCTGATGGACAAGAAATCCCTGTGAGCCGGGTTGGAAGTAAATTACTTCATAGTTGCTCTGAAGACCCTGACAAATTGCTTTCCACTTCTGCTGCCAAAAGAGAATTCTGAAAACAAGGTGTAAATTGGGTTATTTACACTGCCTGTGTTGCTGCTGTTTCCACAGAGGATCCAAGTGGACTTTTCAGGATCCCTGTTTCTGAGTTCCTCAGGTCCCTGGCATCAGTTGGGCTCTAGTGAGGGTAGCCATGGTGCTGGAGAAGTGCCCTTGAGTGCAGGGTGTGTGGTGACCAGACAGGGCTTTGAGGTGCCTGGGACCAGTCTCTTTCACAGATCAAAGAAATACCTTCTGTTGCCCCCACCCCACCCCTTTACACCCTCCTCTTTGCCCTGGAGCAGAGTCATAAAGGGATGAGATGTGAGAGTCTGCTTCTGGTCCCGGGGAGAGGAGGGCGGGTCTTTCCTCATTCTGTGCACTTCCTGTCTTGTGTTTCCACTGTCCTGCGTGTGCAGGGGCAGGGGCCATCTGGGCTAGCCTGGGCACACCAGGCTAGGCAGGACCGTCTGTCCGGGTGTAAGTTGATAAAGGCAGCCACACATAGCTGGATTTCACTCCAGGCTAAGTGTTTTTGGTGCTGAATCATTTGCATTCATTAAAAGTTGTGAAGGGTGAGTGATATTAAGGCAACAGGGCAGGTTTGTGGGAGCCTCGGATATTGTTGAAGTAGTGTTGAAGTTGCTACAGCGCTGCCTCATTAAGAATTCCCAGGGCTTGGAGAGGGTGGGTGCAGCTCATTCAAGCTTACTTAACTTCTGACTGCCTTGGGCATAGGCCAGCTACTAAAATATGAAAAATGTTGGCCCAGCAGCTTCCAGAGCTTGGCCAGACTGCCCTGGCCAAAGAAAACATAGCCTTACAATTCATTATTTAGCCTCCTCCTGTGTGATTGCTTGAGGTCCTTCCTCCTCTGGGACCTTCCTGAGTTGGGGGGCACAGCATGGGGAGAAGGCAGGAAGGTCGCCACACACTTGAAGGGGAAGTCTAAGTGTAGATAGAGCACTGCCTACACCCCTCCTGACCTCTCTCCCTAGTTTATATCATGGGCTCCCTGCTGGCAGACTTTAGGCTGTTTTGAGGGTTTCCTAATTTAATTTTTTAAAAAATGTGTATGGATGTTTTACGTGCATGTATATCTGTGCCATGTGCCTGGTGCCTGAGGAGACCAGAAGAGGGCATCAGATACCCTGGAACTGGAGTTACAGGCAGCTGTGAGCCATCATGTGGGTGCTGGGATTTGAACCCCAGTCCCTGGAAGAGCAGCCAGTGTGCTGAACTGGTGAGCCATCCCTCCCGCCCAGGGTCTCCTATCTCAAACACAGCCACTACCAACACTCTTTGCTTCTCTGTCTCTAGGATGATTCCTGACTGGAATTTCTGTCAGAGCTATGAACTTACCAGAACTGTGCACAAGATTTTTGTGTGTAAAGTAAGTGTGTGTGTGTGCATGTGTGAGTATATCTGTGGGTGTGTGTAGCTCTCAGTACATTTTCATCAGCTCCAGTGGACTTGTCCAAATCACACAGGCTCTGTGTGTGGAAACTAGAGAGAGTTCAAGTGCGGGTCATCGCTAGGGAGCACAGGTGATTTATCACCCAAACATTTTCACCTCCATTACTAATACAGGGCAGGACAGCCAGCACAAGCCCAGGTTGTTCCAGGTAACTGGTGGTATGGTGGCCTGGTGCCTATCCCAGAACTCACTCCATCTCCAAGGTTGTTTATTTTGTCTTTGACACCACTTTAGCCAATCAGTCACCTGTTCCTTTGCATTTTCCATTTTGTCAGATGTGTGTTTGTTTTTGTTGCCCCAAGTTGATAAGCTCAGGGTTTCAGATCAGTATTGTCTTTGTTTTCCCACAGGTCCAACTCTACCCCAGAGGGCTCCACAGTTGCTCAAGTTGTTGAATCCCAAAGACTAGAATTCCTATCCTAGAGGGGTTTGACTCTGTAGAATTCCATCTCTTCTTGTGGCATGGAAATAATAATCCCCCTTGACTATGTGCACACTGAGGGCCTAGCCAGGTGGGTTTCAAAGGCGTTTTTTCAGGTGTATAGTGACTGTGGGATGTGAGCTGCAAGAGATCTAGTCCCTGGGACAGAGTTGTTCTCTCCTCAGTGGTGTGTGTGTGTTCTTCGCAGCCCTCAAGACATGGCTAGAGCCACTTGTCCTTTTGATTGTCTTCATGTGTGTTCCTGGATGTGGCTTGGCTCCTGTCATTTCTTCTTTGGAATTCTGCTGAAAAAAGGAAGTGAGGGAAAGGAAAGCAGGGCTGGTGAGATGGCTCCGTGGGTAAAGGTGCTTATCACCAAGACTGATGACCTGCACCAGGACCTGCGTGGTGGAAGTTGAGAACTAGCTCCTACAAGTTGTCCTCTGAGCTCTACACATATGTCATGACCCCCCCCCACACACAAACACACAATCTTCATAAAAATTAGAATGGAGAGCTGGAGAGATGGCTCAGCAGAGTGTGTACTACTGTTCCAGGGCACCCATGTCAGATGGCTCATGGCCATCTGAAACTCCAGCTCCAGGGGATCTGACACTCTCTTCTAGCTGCAGAGGGCACCTACGTTTACTCGCACACATGGGCATGCATGCACTCACACACACACGCTTAATTTAAAAAACAAACAACAAAAAACCAACGAAACTTTTTAGCCATGGTTTTGAGTTTGAGGCCAGCCTGGTCTACAGAGTGAGTTCCAGGACAGTCAGTGTTAAATGATGAGACACTGTCTCAAAAAGCATGTCCCTCAAAGATAAGATATGAACTTCACAAGCATTTCCCTAAACAGAAAACAAATTAGAAGTTGACAGATGTAAATGGACCTGACCAGCAGCTGTGAGGAGATGGGACTTGGAGGGGAATGGATGGGTACAGGGAGATGAGAAGAGGTGGGTGCTAACTGGGGACATGGCTTGGTGCTGACTGATTGGGGACATGGCTTGGTGCTGACTGACTTGAGGACATGGCTTGGTGCTGACTGACTGGGGACACGGCTTGGTGCTGACTGACTGGGGACACGGCTTGGTGGGGATGTGCCCACCATGAAAGTGCACAGACCTGAGTGTAGACTCTCAGTAGTGCCTGCTGTAACCCTAGGCCTCCTAAGGCAGGTCGGGGGATGGAATAGGGCGAGATAAAGGATGGTGTGCACTGATGCTGAGGGTTGTCCTCCACATGTGCACACTGTCGCACACACACACACACACACACACACACACACACACACACACACACACACTCAGAGAATTTTAAAAAGAGGTCTGGCAAATGGCTCAGTGAGCTAAGGTACCACCCACTAAGCCTGACAGCCTGAGTTGAAGGAAACCAACTGCAAGGATGGGGGATGGGGAAACGAGGCTGACCTGAGAACACATTTCTGTAATGACCAAGGTTGAACAGAAAGGCTTACCCCAAACGGACAGATTTCTCCTGGTCATCTTTGAACTAGATAAATTCATCCTTGTCATAGGTGTGCTGAAGTACCGGCAGCATTTTCGTGTGTGAGAATGTGTGGGAGTTACTTGTGCCAGGGGCTGAAGAGATGGCTCAGTGGTTAAGAACGCTTGTTGCTTTTGCAATGGTAGTTCACAACATAATCCATCCCAGGGATCTGACGTACTCTTCTGACCTTCGGGGCATGTGCTGCACAGATACACATGAAAGCAAAACCCTGATATATAAAATAGAATAAGTAAATGTAAAAAACTTATATATGCGCTGATTATAGCCAGGCAGGATCTGGCCACTCCTCAAATTGGGGGAAACATGGCCAATCAGACATCACCTGCACTGACCTGCCCCAAAGGCTTGTGGAAGGAGGTGGTGTGCTTCTTGGGTAATTCTCCTGACTTGGAATGGGGGTATTGTGATTCCCTTTGCTTTGTGAACAGGTTTTAACCTTGGGGAGTCTCTGGGGCATAGCATGGCAGTCTGGCATCTGCCCCACCTTCTCTAGCCACACTCTTGCTCAAGTAGAACCTTGTAGAGCTCTTTGAACAACAGAGTGGATTTCCATAGCAGGCTCTCAAACAGATCAAAATGTCATCTTGTTTAAATGAACTCAAGGCAGCTTTGAGCTAAGGGGTGAAGCAGACTCCCGCTTTCCAGAACAGAAACCATTCTGTCCTGTTCACCATTGCATCACAGCACGCCAAATGGTGCCTGGCTCAGGTGAGCAGCTGGGTACCTGTGAGAGCCTACTGTGATGACTTGTGCCTGAAAGCCCAGCATACAGGGTGCCGAGGCAGAGGCTCCATCCACCACAGCTTGAACCAGTCTGTTTTTTTGTTTGTTTGTTTGTTTGTTTTTTGTTTTTGTTTTTGTTTTTGTTTTTTTTTTGCTTTAGTCCTGACTTCCAGACCCCAACCTTGTTCTCCTAACCCTGGTACCTGTGAATGTGATTTGGTTTAGAATTAATTTGTCTTTTGCAAATATATTCAAGTGAAAATGAAGTTACTGAGGTGGGCAGAACTGATTCTGCAGAACTTCGAGTGTCCAATAAGAAAGAAGAGGGTTGGAAAGATGGCTCAGTGGCTAGGAGCACTGGCTGCTCTTAGAGAAGACCTATGTTTGCCTCTTGGCACCTAAATGTTGTCTCACAGCCGTTTGTAACTCCAGTCCAGGGGACCCGACATTCTCTCTTCTGATCTTTGTGGGCACCAAACACATATGTGGTATACATACATACAAGTTAAACCCTCCCCCACACACACATAAAATAAAAACTTATTTTTTGCCAGGCGTTGGTGGCGCACGCCTTTAATCCCAGCACTCGGGAGGCAGAGGCAGGTTGATCTCTGTGAGTTCGAGGCCAGCCTGGTCTCCAGAGCGAGTGCCAGGATAGGCTCCAAAGCTACACAGAGAAACCCTGTCTCAAAAAACCAAAGCAAACAAACAAACAAACAAAAAGCAAACAAACAAAAAAACCTTATTTTTCAAAGAGAAGAGATACAAACATCCTTTGAAGGAAGAAAGTCAGAGGGAAGATGGGGACAGAGACTGGGGTGATAACAGTCACAAACCAAGAAGTGTTGGTGACTGTAGCAGCCACGAAGAGCAGGGGATGTCATGGGACACAGAGCCCCTGGAGGGAGCCCACTGGCCAAGGCCTTGATTTGGACCTCCTAGCCTTCAGAACGAGGACAGGAATCGTTTGTGTTGTTTAAGCACCTCAGCTGTGGCTGTTTTGCTGCAGCCTTGGGAACTGTAGGAGAGGTGTGTTGTAGTACTCAGGACCTCAGTGGTGGAGCCTGCTGCCTCTCTCCCCATAACAGGGCTTAGCTTCTTCAGTTTGTTTTCTGCTGTGGCAGCTTCCCTCTTAGAAAGGTGGACTTTCTGTGGTAGTCATTTGTGTTTGTTTTTTTATCTGTAGGACCCAGATAAATGTCTAGGTTGCCTCCTTTGCCTTCCTGCTCCAGAACAGTGTGGCCATGGGCTCTTGGCGCTTTCTAGTTCTCCTGGTTTCTGGCTTCTTACTTCATGTTTGTTGTTCTATGCTGGGGCTTGAACACAGGACTTTGTGCATGCCAGTCGAGTTCTACAGTAGTTTCATCCCTAGCTCTCTGGCATCTGGCTTTTAATTTTCCAAGCCTCATTCCTCCATCAAACATTGTATTGAAGATCCCTTCTAGTTTTTTCTTTCTCTTTTATTCCCCCTTTCTATATTTCCTCCCTCTGATTTAGAAAGCTTCCCCTAAGGACCCTCCTCTGCACTTGCCATCATAACAAGTGACGGAACAGGCAAGGCTAGTGATCACAGTAGCCTCCTCTGGAACCAGATGTGACCTGAGACTTGACTCCTGCATTTTGTCTCTTACCAGCTTTGTAAGCGTCAGCAAATAGCTTTACTTCTGTGCCTCAGTTCCCTCGTCTGCACGATGGGGATCATGGCACTCATTGCACTGGGTGGGCACGAGCCTTAACAAGATAGTATGGTTAAAATGCTGGGAACGGCGCCTGGTACGTACTGAGGGTCACTGAGTGTTAGCTATTACTGTAATTATATGCTTACTTGTCTGACTCCCCCGCGGAGCCGAGACGCTTAAAGACAGTAATTGTGTGTTTTTCTCTTTGCATCTCCAGTGACTTACGAAGTACTTGGCACATGGTAGGTTCTAAATAAATGTTTGTTGAATTAATGATGATAATTAATGTAATTGCCTACCCGGAACCCAAATTAGGATTTGACCCTCTGCTGGTGCCACATGAGGTAGGGAGAACGTGATCAAGTTATCTGGTGCAGTTAAACACCACAGAGCAGCTGCTGCTTCCTGTGTACCCACCTCCCATGGAGCCCCCCCAAACAGAGCTGGCTAAGTGTGAGCGCAGCTCCTACTTTCTGTGCTCTCTGTGGGGCAGGCATGGCAATTGTCTACGAAGTGCTGGCCCAGGGTTAGGCCTGAGCAGGTGCAAAGGAAGCACTGAAGGTGCAGATGTGTGGACATCAGAAGACTTTTTTTTTTTTTTTTTTTTTTTTTGGGTCCCGGGGGAGGGGGGGGGGGCGGGGGGGGGGGGGGGGGAGGGGGGGGGGGG